AGGCCTCCTGCTTCTCTTCTCAGCTTACAACCGGCTCTGAGAGCCACACAAACGGTCCGGGTAAACTCGTTACAGAGCGCGCGCTTTCCCGCGCATGCGCACAAGCTGTTGCCAGTTTGTCTGGCCCCGGGCAGCTTCCGCAGCCCGTTGCCATGGCGACCGCCCGGGCTTGCTTGCTGCAAGTCCCGGGACACAACACTAACCAAAAAACTTATTTGATTAGGGTAGAATACATTCTGAAATGTATTGGCAGGTGCAAATGGCCAGGAGCATTCACTGAGTTCAAAGCACAGAAGAGTTTATTGTTGCTATCTGTTCATAAGAATCTGATTAACTAATGGCCAGTGGTGCTAAATTGACAACAGGTAAGGATCAACAGAATTCAGAGGGGGCAGGACTTGGGTCTCTTGTGGCAATACAATGACTCCAAACTGATGACATTTTTACTCCGCTTTCCAGCTCAGCCTACTCTTTTCCTACATGTATCCTTCAGTAGTGATGAATGGCCATTTCACTTGTAGTACACCTTGCAGCATTACAACAAATTTAAAAACAAACAAACAAACCCAGCGTGCTGTCAGGAAGGACTCACTTATAGTTAGAAGTGGCTTTCTTGCCAAACAAATAATTCTTATTTTCCATAACAGATTAAGTGGAATTATATGCAGGCAAGTGGAGAAGGATACTGCCAGTGCAGAAGTGTAGATCTACCTTGCAAAATGATTTAAAAGCTTTTTTTTTCATTGCTAACACTGATAAGGAGTGCCCCTTTGTACTATTCTAAATTTATCCTGAATGTCAGAATTAAGACACTGTATCATTTTGGTTGTGCATTTTTTACTGAGTTTTTAAAGAGATTTTGGATGAAAATAGAATAGGGAGCAAAGATCCAAAAATGCAGACTGTCTATATTTGAGGGAACAAATTGTATCTAGGAGATTAAAATGTACTATAAGCCAATAAATCTAAAGAAGCAATGGACCTCCTTTTTCACAAAGGTATTTTACAGACAAATTGCAGCATTAATTTACATGATCAGTTCCAGAGAAGTACACCTGAAATAGAGAAATGCAATTTGCAGAAAGGCAGTCTGCTAATTATCATATGTTCATCACAATATGCTTACCAGGCACAATCTTGTCAAAATAGAAAGTCAGCAGCATATATAAAACAATATCAAAAAGCAAGAATAAAGTGAATGACTCAGACATTATGTCTGACAAACTGAGGGATTGTCCACATTTTTGGAAATAAAGAATCTGCATGAAAAAAACAAAGTCCACAGCGTCATAAACAAACAACAGGCAAGGAAGAACAAATATTTGGAATCTAACTAAACCTTTAACAAATCAGACTTTAGTCTCCTAGAAACGTAAGCATGAACTCAGTCTATGAAATTAAAAAAATGGAATGGAATGGAATCAAAAGCCATTTTGTATTTATGCAGAGTTATTTGTAGATTATGTATCAGAATAGAAATAGAAAGACAGAGTGGTGACCAGAATCTCTGCATTATCATATATCAGGCATGTTCTACCATACTTAGAAGGGTGGGATTTAAATGCCAGAAACAGCATCATACTCAACCTTTGAAAGCCCAGCACCAAAAGCAAATGTGCAGAATATGTGGAAAATTAATTCCAAAGCTGAAGGCAGTATCTTGAATGTGGTTGTGATGCTAAGGAGTCCAAAACAAAGACTGAAGAGGATGACAACAAAGGCAGTGGTTTTGGGCTTCTTTAGGAGTGCACTCATCATGAAACAGAAGCATATCTGAAAGAGAGAAAACTGCCAGTTTAAGATGAAATGTTTTCTTTGCTAATATCCAATTCAATCAATGAAGTAGTAAGTTTACAAGTTACCGTACATTTTTTCCTTATATGTATCTACGGGGGAAAGTCATCTGGCTATATATACATTCATACACTATGTATAAAGAATCTCTCTCTCTCTCTCTCTCTCTCTCTCTCTCTCTCTCTCTCTCTCTCTCTNAATAAATTTCACAATGATCCACCTAATATATATTTGATTGTAATCCAATTTTCAAGAATACATGCTTTTTGAAGGCCACTAGCAATAATATCCAATTAAATTACTTCCCCAAATATATCTGTGCCATTTTATATGAATTGCAAAGAGTTCCATGCAATAATCTATGCATTATTTTCATGCAGTAATAGAGATCTGAGATCTCTCTCTCTCTCTCTCTCTCTCTCTCTCTCTCTCTCTCTCTCTCTCTCTCTCTCTGGTGTGTGTGTGTCTGCACGCACACATACAGTCACAATAATTGTTTTCTCCGAAACCGGTCCCTGCTACAAATAAGGTTGGGGGCCGCTGCCTTAAAGGGAATAACCTACCCATTTGGAGCCATTTTGGCACCATAAGATCCTTCAAACCCTTCCATTATGGCTGTTTCATATGAAACAGAAAAGCAGAGGAAAAAGCAGGGGAAGGAATCCTTTAACTTATACAAGTTCCTTCTCACCCGATTCCAGGAATTTCCCTCCAGCAAAACAGAAATGTATATTGAGAAAGTTCAATCAGACATTGAAGCAGTTTAACTATTACGAATTTCAACAGTTCAGGAAATACGCTGAAAACAAACATAGAGGACTTACACTCGATATGCCATAAAGGAAGAATAGAACAAACAATGTAGAAATGTTACTCAAGTGGAAATAGAAATGTTTCAAAATAAATGCCATTGCACAGGACAAAATCAATATGTACACACCATACAGCAAACCCCAGGAAAGCCTACAAAAAGAGAGAGAGAGAGAAAAAACAACAACACAGAATCACTATTTTCAGCAACAGTTTCATGACCAGTGCTTGGCTTAATTCTGTGCTAAGTAGCAGTGGATTCCTGCTTTCTTTTCTCGCATGAAGTTGCTGGTTTCAGGTGACAAAAAGAAACCACAGCTCACCAGAATGCTGCATCTCGTAGTCCCATCGTCTTCATCACCTCCTTTAATTTCCTTTTCTCTCTTGAAAGAGTTTGTGCCAAGAAATACATAAACGGTGAAAAACATAGTGATAAGACCCATGTGAGTAGACAATTCTCCAGTTCATTTCCTGGCATAATAAATGGTGATCTCATACGGATGCCATTAATAGATTGCATTTCTTCCCAAACAGAATGATTGGTGATCCGCTAAAAATAAAAAACAATACATTTCTGAAATCACTGGTAGCTTCCCTAGGAGATGGAAATACTCACCTACACAACACCACACCAGATATGTTATTTATACCAGTTATGGCTGTACCACTTATGGTCATCAAATTTCAATTTTGAGATTAAGAGGAAATATTAAAATATGAAGAACTTAGAGGAAAAATGCAAAACAACACCAAAGGATTCCCTCCCCCTCATCCTGAAATATAAATTTGACAATCTTAATGTATTTTCAAAAGTATTTTTAAACTATCCCAAAGGAAAAAAAGCACCTTTGGGACAACCATGACCTGGATGATTGAGAATCTCCATAGTGATTTTTAAACTAATAAGTGTATTTATTAGTATTGTTCATATTTTTCTATTAGTTGTTTTGAATCCTTTGCACATTTTCTTTTGTCCCATATCTTAACAGATAAATCTACCTTCACAGCAGTTGGTAGCCCCTCGCCAATTTTGCCTGGGCTAGGAAGCTAAGCAGGGTCATAAGCTGATGGGAAACCTCAAGGAATATTAAGGCGGTAAAGGGGACTAAGAAGTTATAAAAAGTATTCCAGAAGGTGGCAATGATATTGTTTTGAAGAAAACGACATGGGTATGTGACTAAAGGGCTAGACCTCAAGCTCAGCTTGAAGGAGGCTCAATTTTAATTCAGTCCATGTTTGTGCAATCAAAAAAGCCAGGAGACTGTGGATTCTAGTCCCACCTTAGGCATGGAACTGGCTGAGTGACTTGGGGCCAGTCATTCTGTCAGCCCAACCCACCTCACAGGGTTATTGTTGTAGGGAAAGTAGGAGGAGGCAGGATTATTAGGTATGTTTGCCACCTTGAGTTGCTGATAAAAATAATAAAAGGATACAAATACATAAATATCAACAAATAAATCATTCTGTATGCAGCAATCATGGTGAATACAATACATAGCAACCCAAGACAATTAACACAATCCCCTCAAAGCCATCACTGTTGGACATAATTAATTAAATTAAACATATCTCTGACATGAATGTGTCATAGAACAGAGGTCCCCAACCTTTTGAGCACCAGGGACCAGTTACGTGGGGAGAGGTTTTTCCGTGGACCGGTGGGGGCATGTTTTTGTGTGCTGACTGCATCCCGTGGATGGGGCTTTGGTTGTTTGTGCGGACCGGTTGCTGGTGTGCTGCAGCCTGGTACCAGTTCACGGACCAGGGGTTGGGGGCCCTTGTCATAGAACATCAGAAATGTCCATGGAACTATATGAACCAGAAAGGGGACATCTTATGAGTAGCTTACAATTCAATGTTTGAGAGAAAAGGAAGAGAAACAATAGCGCTAGGGGAAGTATGAAAGAATAAATAGAAAAAGCTGTTGGAAGCCTGTTGACTTTGTTTGGCTTTTGCTAAATTCTCATGGCATGCTGTGTGGTTTATGTGGCACTGCGGAGTGGAGCCACACTCTGTATCCTGAATCCTGCAACATGCAGGATTATGTCTGAAACTGTTAAATAGTCTATCTTGTTTGAATTTTAAAAATGATTTTGCCCACTGTAGGAGACTGAGGAGTCTGCTGACTAACTAATGGTTTTTAAGTGAGTTGCCTGCTGTTCCACTGGTGATTTCTAAATATTATGTAACTGCAGCATCCACTGTCCTATTCCGAGAAGAAGCAAAGGATGGAATTCAGAAGGAATTGTTTCACAAACACACAGAGACATAGACATACACACACACACACACGCACACACACACACACACACACAAACCTAGCAGACCAAGCACATAACAACAAGACCTAGCAATGGCTAAAAGCAAGAAAGTTGAAGAATGAGACAGAGAGGCTAATTTTGACTTTTATCCAACTGCCAAAAATACTGGAGGAAAGTGCAGATAGTCTTCATTTAGCAATTGCCTCATTAGTGATCATTCACAATAACAACAATGAAAAAGCTCTGTGACCAATCCTCGCATTTATGACCTTCACAGCTTGTAAAAAGCAAAGGGAAGCTGAAGTAAAATTGTAAAATCATGATATTTCACTTAGCAACTACTTTGTTAACCACAAGTTGCTGATCCCAACTGTAGTCACTAAATGAGAACTATCTGTACATGCAATTGGCTCTTTCTTCCTTATTAAGGTTAGGTCTCTGCCCATTGACAAGAATATAAAATCTGTATTATAGCTTTGGGACACTCAGACCTCTGAAAATTGCACCTTGATGTACTAATTGTTATGGGAACTAATGTGCAACGATAACAACAAAAAATAGTATATCAGTTGATATAAAAATTCAATCAATGTACAATAATCTCTCTCTCAAAAAGGTAATAGCATCCAGGTTATGCAACTTGCAAATATAAATACATTAAAGCTATCTCACTTACTTCAATAAGTGCACTATCAATGCTAGACTGCAGTGATATAAAGCTTCCAAACCAATAGCTTGTATTTGGACAATAAGGTGATGAAATGTTGTAACAGTAATCTACAAAAGAGAAATAAAAATGTTATTTTATTATGCATAAAATTTATTTAATACCATATTAATAAGGCTGACATTCATTACGATATATTTAGCTAGACACAATGGGCATGACGCTTGAACTCAATGTAATTTCTCTTTTATATGTATATAATTTTTATTAAAGTTTTAAATTATAATAGTTTTATCAAGATGATCAAGGTCAGCTAGGTGCTGTCATATGCAGTGAGGCCAAATATGTTACAATCTCATTAAAAAAGAATTATATTATTTAAATGTGTATCTGTACAACTGATATAAAGAAGGAAATCCATTTCTTATGTTGTATTAATGACATATAAGACTACAGAAGTGCAAAAGCCCAAATCTGCATCTAAATTTCCTGTAGACATGTAGGTATTTGGAAACTGGAACATAAATTCAAAAACATCATAAATTACCTATCTCTAAAACATATTCATTTGGGGAAACCATTTTATGGAAAGGGAATCGGAGTCGATATGAGACTTCATCTTGAAATACCACTCCAATTAGGTTTACATCTTCCACTTGGGCTGCTTCCATTGATTTTTCATCTTCCATCACTTTTGTGTTTACACCTTTAGCACAAAAATCTGGTTAATATGTGTAATCACATGCAGGAGTGACACAGAAAAAAATGTCTCATCTAGATATTTGACTAGGTGCATCAATCTAGCATTCCATGAAGATATTCAAAAAGGCAGGACTTGGCAAAAGTATTCAATCAATCAATCATTCAACCAAATCTTTATTCAGTCATAGACCAGCATGTAGGATATGGTTAATTAAAATAAAATTAAAATAAAAGAAATGTGTATATACAGTATATAAATATTCTAAAATATCTGAAATATCTAAGAGGGGTTAGAGTTAATCCTACAGCGTAAACTGCAGACAACTGAGCAGTACTTGGCTGTAGACAGAAAGATGAAGTCAGATTAAAATGAATTTGAATGACCAGGGTATTTAATAAAAAATGGAAATAATATCTCCTGGCGTGCTCCTACATAGATGGATAGTAGAGGATAATGTGTTCCATCAAGAAGAAGCAATGGATGGAAACTAATTAAAGAGAGAACCAACCTAGAACTAAGGAGAAATTTCCTGACAATTAGAACAATTTATCAGTGGAATGACTTGCCTCCAGCAGTGGTGGGTGCTCCAACACTGGAGGATTTAAGAAGCGATTGGATCGCCATTTTCTAAAATTGTATAGGGTCTCTTGCTTGAGCACGAGGTTGGACTAGAAGACCTCTAAGGTCCCTTCCAACTCTTTGTTTGAAGGGAAAAAAATTTGTATCTTTCTTTAGTAACAGCTGTTGGAAGGACATTGAATCTGGCTAAAGTTAGTTAAGTTAGTAACATAGTTGTTAAGTGAATCTGGCTTCACCATTGACTTTGCTTCTCAGAAGATTGCAAAGATGATCACACACACCCAAACACTGCAACCGTCATAAATACATGCCAGTTGCCAAGCGTCCAAATTTTGATCATGTGACCAGGGGGTTGCTGCAATGGTCATAAGTGTGAAAAACAGTCATAGGTCACTTCAAATGGTCACTAAACCAACTGTTGTAAGTCAAGGACTACCTGTAATAGGTGGAATTTGTATCACAACACATGTTGTAAATTGCCGTCTCTTGTCACTCCTCTGCAGATACCTAAAATTTGGTTCTCGAACACTATCTATTCAGCCATCAATAGATCCAAAAGACAGTATGTGTGTGTGTGTTTCTGTCTGTCTCTGTGTACGATTTGAGCCAATTGATGGATCCACTTCTGTTGTTTGAACCGGTTCAAAATGTAATTCTTGTTAAAATGGGTTGTTGGCAGGGCAAAAGCAGAGAAGTGAGCTTCAGATTACATTAAACTTTGATTGCACTTTAATTTTGGGTCTTGAGAGTAATTAAAAAGAAGAAATTAATATTTCCGAATAGACATAGTTTCAATTACAAATGGAAATATATTCCTAACACAGTATAATTTGGGTTTAGAATCCTTTCTACTTCACTCAGCTTTATTTTTGGCACCATAAAGTTGGAATAGAAAAGCACTCTTGGAAAACAATGTTTAAAAACCTAAATAAATTACACAATGTCTAATTTCTAAGAAAAATGCTGATAGGTTATAATCTGCTTTGAAAATAACTCATTGATAGCAACATACTTTTCCTTCAGAAACAAAGGTTACTTGGTATTGAAAGAAAATACCGATATACCGTTCAGGATAGATTGTTTTTCTATTTTGTCCATTATTTCTTTTGCAAACGTGGAATTTGGAGTATAAGCAATTTTAAGTCCAGTATTATTAAAGGAAGGTTTCCCAAGGACGGCTAAAGGTACTTCTTGAGGAGGTCCAATGTTTATCAATAATATTGTCCATAGTATTATTGCAAAGAGAAGAGCCAAGGTCGAGAACCATTCCTGGAGACCACAAATCAGAGATACATCTTAGCAAAGTAATAATATAATAGTATTAATTGGCTTGGAAGCATAATGTTGAGGAATGCTAATTAATATACAGCATTAAGAACTCAGAATGAGAACTGTAGGAGATGACCAGGCTGAGCCCGAGGGAGGGGTCAAATTTTGAATGTGATTAGACTTGATTTTATGACCATTGTTATGATGGTTGTAAAGCCAATCGTCACAGTCATTAATCAAATCATGTGGTTGCTAAGCAAACCACACAGTCATTAAGCAAATCCAGCATAACCAATGAGCATTTTTTGCCATTTTCTGTCAGCAAGAAACAATTGCAAGTTGTTTCTTGCAAGTTGTTTCTGCAGGACACAGCAAATGGTCATAAATGTGAGTCTTTGCCAAGCACCCTAACACAATCACTTGACTAAAGGATGTGTGCAGCAGTTGTAATTTCAAGGATGCCTGATAAGTATCTTTTTTGAAGCCCATCATAGTTTTGAATGTCCATTAAGTGACCGATTGTAAGTTCAGGACTATCTGTACTCTTTTTTTTTTGCTGAAATTTTGGCAGCCTTTAGCCTATCCACATGTTAAGGTCTTCATAAACAGAAAAAGGCAGGAAGAAAACAGGATGTATTTCCCATAAATTGTTGACACTTTGCACTTCTGTGTAGCTGTTTTGAACTAGATTCTCTCTTGTTTGGAATAAAATAAAGAAGGCACCAAAGGATAAACAGATGGATAACTTTAAGGAATCCCTAAACAATGCCTTTCAACAACCATGTAGAGCAATGAACACAAAGCAAGCTATTTTTATTCCAATTGTAGCAGTCATTTTCTTGACTTTCCCTTTAAAAAGGGAGAATGAAAACCAGAAGAAAACAAACAGAACTGGAGCTCCTTTAAAAACCTCATTTAAAGGTGTATACTTGCCTGAAAACTCTGCATTCTCATTCTCCACTTCAACATTACATTTTTCCATAAGAGCACAGCAGTCTGCTGACACACGCTTCTTTGTCTTATGTGTGGTTTCTGCATTTTAAAGTCCATTTGAAATCAGAAAGGGAGCCTACGGAGAGATCTTGACACTGAGCAGTGGGACACTCAAGTTAAACACAGCAGTTCCCCTCCCCTCCCTGCTGCATTATGCAATGCTCTGCGCCATCTTCTTGTTTCATAACCAGATCACTAGAGCTATGCAGGGTTTTGAGTTAGCATTATTGGAGAAGGTTTCTTTCTTTCTTTTTTTAACTAGCTATAACAGCAAAGAAAAGAAAAAAGGAATCATCAGATACTTGCATAATACTCCTCTCTATTTGCGAGCCCCAAGGGTATTTCCAAATGTCTAGGACATTCTTATTTAGAAACACTCCAATTATGAATAAACAATCAATTCATACATCTTAAATGTTGTAATTAAATAAAATCCCTATATTCCAGAATGATCTTGTAAACCAGAGGTCCCCAACCTTTTGAGCATCAAGGACTGGTTCATGACTGGAGGGGGCCTGGTTTCATGTACTGCCTGCATCCCACAGGTGGGGCTTTGCTTGTTTGCGTCGACAGGTTTCTGGCATGCCGCGGCCCGGTGCTGGTCCACGGACCAGGGGGTTGGGGACCCCTGTTGTAAACCATTTCATTTGAACAGAATAAAGCAATGATCTATGTGTGTATATATTTCCCTAAGCATTTGAAATTATACTGCTAGACTGAGAGTGCAAAAACAACTTTTTACAATTTAGATGCTTTCTATGACAAACTGAAAAACTAAATTAAAGGGACTCAAAACAATTAGGAAAGTTACAATCTTAACTACAGTACAATCTACAAATGAGTTTACATCATGCAGGCATTTATTATTTTGTTTCTTAGCTAGACAGCAGTGAAAAGAAACAGTCAGTATGTGAGAAAAAGGTTAGTCTTTTTAAAATATTAATTTAAACTGTTCCTCTCAAATCAATGGCTATCTGGTTGTATTTCCAGATGTCTAAGTGGACATATTTGCTCTGGTTGTGAAACCAAAAAATACTTGACTTGCCTGATTAAATAAAACCCCTCGGTAAGCAACATCAAAAGCTTACCCAGTTTAATGATATGCAGGTGTACTCTGAACTAAATAAAATTTACTGTGGATGTTGGATTGAGATGAGTGCAAGCAGAATCATTTTTAATAAGTTAAATCACAGATATCTTGATATCCAAATATTATTCTTGAGTAGCTGTGTTTTTAATAAATTCAAACAATAACTAGGGTATTTGTTTTAGTCAACAAAACAAATTAAAGAACATCAAGGCTGATGCAATTTCAAGTTATTATTGTAAAAAACAGTGAAAAAAATAACATGAACATGCTTACCTTAAGTAATTGGTTTAAGCCAGAAGCTCAGCAGAAGAATTCACAAAATGCTAATAATGGAGGTGTCCTCCGTCTGAAATATCATTGGCTTTCTGTCTATAACAGCTCTTTCTGTTGCTTTAAATCTTCATTCCTTCAGCCTTTTCCCACAGCCAAAAGACCCAAGGACTTTCCAAACAAATGTGATATTCTTGTTTTCCCAATATAACCCCTCTTCCAAGTTTTTCTCTCAGGAAAACTCAAAGGATTTACTTGGTGCAAATGTTTCATAAGTATATTGGAAGAGGAAATTATACTGTGAGAGAGCAAAAAATCTGTACCAAACTGAAAAAGAAACTTAAATTAAAGGGGCTCAAAACAATTAGGAAAGTTAAAGCAGTGCAAAAATATCAATGGGGTAAAAATAAAGGCCCAAAATAAATCAAACTCTATTTGTCACTTATTCAGTTCAAATGGAATGTTCTATTCATTATATTTGTTTGGCAGAAATAGGGATTAAGGAATTTGAAATAAAATATGGTTCCTAACACAATGTACAGCAAAAAAACCATGGTCATAACTGCAAATCAATTGCCAAGTCTCCCAAAATGGAATCACATGACCACTGCAGGTGTGACTTTCAGCACTCCAGAACCAGGTCATAAGTAGCTCTGGGGAACTCGGTCATAACTTTGAATGGTTAAGCAATGACTACTTGATACAAAACCTGAAACTTTGCTACTTGCATCAAGAATGGGAGCCTAAGCACCAAACAGCTGAGTCTACATCATCCACCCACGTGTAATCTTTTTAA